TGGGAAAGCCCCAAAGCGGTGCCCCCACCGACGACAATCCCTCGCCCGGGCAGGACCTGGGAGCCAGTGTGCATGGACTGTTTTCCCCTTTCTGATGCCAGCGGGCCATTTCTGAAAACAGGAGGCATCAGGGTCTCTAAGCCCCACCGATGCTTGCGTGCGTCGCTTCTATAAACCACGTGTCTGTAAATGCACAACAGCTTTCCCTGGCTGGCTCAGGATGCACTCGAGTCAGCTATAAATTGTCTGTTTGGGGACTGATTCCAAGTTGGCACATTCAGAGATAACATAAAAGATCGGGCTAAGGCGAAACCCTTCTGATTTCTCAAAGATGAGAAAAACAAATGGGGAGGGATAGACAATAGTTACCAGAAAGTTCAGGCTACACCCAGCAGAAGGATGGGCCTCTGGGTGTCATCTTCACACTGTCTTCCTGCCCAGGAGGTGTGGATTTTAAGTTCAGGCTGAACCAAGCTTGCAATCATGAAAATTAGACTGTGCAATGGGGCCACGGGACTCCCCCATTTCTTCCCCGCTTCTGGTCCCAGGGAGGCCCCAAACACAGACCTCAGAAGCACCTGCCTTTGCAGAGAGTGATTATATCAGAGGAACATTCCTGATGTGAGAGGCCAAGTACAGTGGCCCAGAAGGACCAGGACTTTGATGTAGGCTGGACTGCAGGAGGCGGGGTGGTCTGCAGAGGAGGGGGGTACAGCGGGAGAAGAGAAGGGAGCTGGTGGGCCGGCACGCATTGCCATCAGGAGCTTGTCTCACACTGGGGTGCTCCTTGACTGTGCACGCCACCCCTCTCTCCCTGTCCCTTAAGGGGACTGCAGGGCCATCGGATCTGTGACTCTGCCCAGCCCTGCTCTCTGCTCTGTGTCCCAGGTGGGAGGGAAGCCTGGTCTGACAGCCCGGCCTAGCACCACTGCCCTTGGAAGTCCTGGCTCTGGGCACGTGTACCAGCCGAAGCCCGGGGAGCTGGTGAGCTAACGCAACACGGAACCCCGGGCTCCTTCTGGGTCCTGCTCACGTCGACTCTGGAGGCCAAACCTGAGGGGTGCTTTATCATAGCAGCTGCCTCTACAGAGGCCGGGGCCTGAGAAATGGGCCTCCCAGAACACCACAGCAGCAAACGAGGGAAGTCTCTCTGGTGGAACCATCCCCCAAGTGCCCGTGTCCAGGGGACCATCTCGAGTGTGGAGAGGACTGGATGAGATGGCATGGGCCATGTGCATTTGGGGCCTCGGCACTTTTTGAGGCTGAGGCCGACGTGAACAAGGCAGGAAGAAGTGCTTGAGGAGTCTGGGAGAACGGAGGGGAAACACAAAACTTTAAGACAGTTCGACATAAAACATGACGGTTTCCGAGAGAGAAAGGTGATGATTTACCATCGGGTTAGACCAGAACACCACACAAAAAAGCAGAACTCTCACTAGACCGCCAACAAATCTAATCAAAATACCACCTAAAAATTCATTTTACCTGGTATGATTCAAGCAAATCATTTTGAGTTTGAAGCATTTAACACTGAACACAAGTAAAAAGTTTCATATAAAATATTTTATTAGCAGTCTTTATTTATTAAAAGTATCTAACTTAAATTCACACCCTCCAGGTGCTTCGTTTCACGTTTTGTCACATTCTAATTTTCCTGGCATCTGATGAAAGCCTTAATGAGGTTCGACTACACTTTTACCATCTGCACGATAGGCGTGAAGGGAGGGAATTTTTCCTTTCCTTCTTGGAGTAAAGGACGAGCGAGGATTTAGAGATGAAGGAAACACCACAGAGTAACACTATTAGATACACACCTGGAGCAAGCCTGCACATGCACACACACACACACGCACACACCCTCCCTAGGCCACGCTGACCCACAGGCGTGCTGCATTAGGAAGCTAAGACCTGGCGAGGGCAGAGGAAGGCACCTCTTCGCTGAGACAGGAGTAAGCCCGGCCCCACAGGCCAGCTCGCGCACCTCTGTGCAAGGTGATTGAGGGGCAGGGGCGTGGGCCACCCTCCCATCTCAGCTATCTGTTTGGTGACAGCAAGTCCAGAAGGAAAAGCCACTAAACTAGTATTGCACATTATACCAACAAAGGATGGATTTTCATATACACTTCTACAGTATGAACAGGAAGCGACACAGCAAAGCAAAAAAAATAGAGACCTCGGGGCCAGACTGGGGCTCGAATTCCAACTCCGCTCTCTCCCGGCCCTGGGACCCGGGAACTCCTGACCCTCTCCTGGCCGGGGCATTCTGCATCTGCGGGATGAACAGAGCGAGGGGGTCATGGGCCCCCTCCCGCAGCCTGCACTGGAGGGCAGGCCCCGTGGGGGCAGGTCCGCATCTATTTCCCTCCCCTGAGCCCTCAGGGCTTGGGACAGCACCAAGCACGTGGGGATGGGTTGATAAACGTGTGCTGAGCGAGTGAAGGAACAGAGGGATGCGTAAGGCACCCAGTGCAGCACCTGCACCGCTCGGCAGGAAGGATGCTCAGTGCCCGGAGCGCAAGGCTTTCTCTCATCAGGGAAACAACCACGGTGATTTCCGCCTCATGGATGCAGCCTGTGCCTGCCCTCCTGGCAGTGCTTTTGTCAGGGTGGGAAACGGCCTCTTTGGGGGTTTCTAGGATAGGTTTTTAACCTAAAAGCTGATGTCCCATTTCCTGGAGCTGAAGGCCCCTCCCTCAAGGTCAAGTCTTCAGATTCCAGCATCTTCCACGTAAAAACATTCACACGGGTTTCTTCCCTTCATGGGGAGAGCCTCCCACTTCACCCATGCAGGAACTTCCCAAGAATTTAATTCTCTAGCTGACCTTCAGCGAGAGGAGGAGAAGGGGAGGCACAAAATGCTCTGAAATGTGGGCAGAGGGGAAAGGCTCCCAGGATGGGGCTGTCAGCAAAGACCCAGGCCCTGAAGCTGTCTCGGGGCAGGAATGGTGGCTGGACCCCATGGTGCTCCCCTTTCTCTCCTGACAAGCTTCCCTGAAAAATGTTCGTCTATGGAGTTCCATTTTTACCTCTACCAACACTGGAGAGGTTGCGCATCCTTTATCCAAGTTTTAATCCTTCCTTCTAAGTGAAGAAGCGCCATCAGAGATGAAAAGAATATTTGAGTCATTACATTCAGAAATTGCTCCAAAGAATTAGATATGGGAAGCTGGCCGGGTTTAAATTCCAATGTCTGGAGGACAGCACATCATCACCTACCTCTTAACCACAACTACTTAGAAAAATAAATCAGTAAGTTGCTTGGATGTTATCTTAGGCCATTGGAATAAGAGGTTTTGTCAAACTACCCTACAACAAATGGCAGCATTATTAACCCATTATGAGATGAGAGTGAGGGGTGGTTGCTGATATGTGAAGAGGGATGAAGGGATCATCTTAGACTGACCCATCCTCATCCCACATGGCTCTGGGTCTTCCTGAGCAAATTCTCCTGTGCTGGTGACTTCAGAATACTCGCTATAAGCCATTAGCATCCTTTACAAAATAGCCGTGTTCCTTTGCACATGCATTTCCCTTCCCACAGCCCAACAGTCCTCTCGTCCCCCACGATCTGCCCTTTGGGAGGACCTGCATCCGTTCCTCACCTATTCAGGGACGAATATAATCTGTTAACAGTGGAAAACGGAAATGCAGGGAGCACGAACTCCTAGGGACATAATTCCTTCCGAGGGCTTATGTGTGCTTGGAAGCCAGATTTTAAATCCAGGGTATCTCACTGTTTCCTTCCAAAATTGCTGAGATACAGCACCCCGGGCTCCACGAATGAGATGGAGCTGCCTGTGGAGTGGAGATGGTCGGCCCAACAGAGTGCGGCTCCTGCGCTCTCATCCTTCTTAGGGTCACAGACCCGCAACTGGAAGGACTCACCCGGAGGGAAGGAGTCTTTAAATACTGACCTCATCTGATGTAATTCTGAGTCCCCAGCAAGGACTTTCTCTTCTTTCCAACTCTGTATTTCACCAGGCTGTTCCTACGGGGGTCTTCCTCTGTGTGGTGTCCTACAAGCAAATCTATCTTGAAATTATATGAGGACTTCTATAAAGGCTAAGTGTGACCCTGGTTACACTTACTGGAAGGCAATGCCACACTGGTGTAAAATAAGCAAACTTAAAATTATGTTTTGATGTATCTCAACTGCATTTACTAAAAAGGATCTAAAGGTGAAAAAGTTATCTCTAAGCGTTTGCAAATCAAATCCACATGTAAGTACAATTTGGACTCTTCTCATTCTCTTAAAGTTGGAAATAAGAGCTTCAGGAAGACAACTGAGGAAGCTCAGAACTTTATAGAGCTGAACACGGCCTTGAAAACGATCTAGGGTGACTATTTACAGCTAAAGAAACTGAGGCTCAGAGAGGTTAATGAATTTGCCCACAAAAATACAACCTTTCCTTAGGAGACCCCAGTTTCAGGATAATGATAGCCTAGAAGGGGAAGTAATTCCGTTGTCCTTCAGATAACCTTCTTTAGCCAGAATCACTTTCCCCCCTGTAGTCACACTGCCTCTGATGGCTGAAGAGCACACAGGCACCCTGTTATGAAGTCAAAGGCCGTCTACCCTGCAGATGGGCCCACCGTTCCCGACCTAGAGGGATTCACTTATGTGATTTCGTCACTGGGAAGAAGGAATTTCCGGTCTTCGAAGTCTACACAAGCCCACCATTGAGAAGGTGGTGCAGCTGAGATGCTGCAGAATGCAGACTTGGGAGATGGACTCACCCACGGCTCTAGTGCATTGCTTGATGGCGCTGCAAACGCCCCGGCCACACTAGGTCTCCGTGGGTTTCCTGCAAAGGCCTTAGATGCTAATGAAGGCTCAGCATCTTCCCTCTTGTGCAGGTAGCTCCTCTTTCACCCCTTGCACCTGCACAACCCTCAACATTCCTGCCTGGAATCTCCCTCAGCCCAGCTTTCCCAGGTCCAGTGGAGGTAGCTGATGTAACATACGAGGAAACAGAAATGTTTGCACAACACAAACAGGGTTGATCTTCTGGAGTATTTTTAGGCAAAATTAAGGTGCTCAGAAAGTTAGAAAAAAGAAACAATATATTTTGCTTAAAATAAGATGCATGGGGTAAATAAAAGACTTGGAAAGAGTTGGCCAATTACACCTTACAATGTTTTGTATAACTCTTTTAAAATTTCTGCAGGGCTGAGCGCATACAGTTCCAAAGTCCGCCTTCCTGGCACCTGCCTCTGCATCTTACACAAGTTCTGTCCCTAAACGAGACCAGCTCCACGACTAAGTTTAACTCCTCGTATCTCTAAACAAAGTATGTTAGTTACCCTGAATAATTTTCTTCAACAGGTACTAAAAAGACACAGTTTCTTAAAATGAATGAAATCTATCAACTTTTGGCTTGGAAAATGACTTCTCCTTGGAAAAAGAGACAAATCGTAGAAAGATGAAGCTATTAAAACAACAGTCATAAAATGGAATCACGCCATGCCTTGCCTCTCTCCCCCGACATCTAACTGCACAGTGATCAGCCAAGAAGCTGCTGGAATGCCCCATCCAGGACCAGCGTTACCAGAAGGAGGAACTCGACCAAGGAAGCCTCTTGTCACCAGCTTTGTTGCAGTTTTAAACTCTGCCCCAGTTGTGGTATCTTAAAATTCTGCATGTGAAAAAAAAACCTTCCTACATCTTCTTCCTAGTTAAAGCTAGAAAGGGTAATGGAGAGAAGACCCATCCCAGCTGGGCGGAGGAGTCAAACACGTGACACCCGCGAACCAAACGTGGCTTCTAGGGGTTGGGTCACCGTGGTCTCTGTGTCCGTGGCACAGGCTTGCCGCCACGATTCTAGCAGTGGCCCTTGGCCACAATGTCTCATTTTCCTCTCTCCTGGCATTCAGCTGTTTTACCTCTCTGCCCGGATTTTGTACCTCAGGACAAAATAGGCAATGAGGCGCAGGGAGATGAAGAAAACGCCCAGGACGATGAAGTCCAGGTAGAGTTTGGCGTTTTCCACGTCCAGTTCTCTCAGAATGGCCTCTGACTTCTGGAAGTGGCACGTCTCGTCGATGTCGCAGTGCAGATCTTCTCGGTCGAGGCCATAGATGGAGAGGATGACCCCTTCGAACCCGTACCTGAGGAGGAAAGCGCCGAGGATGAGCAAGGCTCTGAACCCGCCGGCCAGGCGGACTCCCTTTATTCCCCACTCCGCCTCCGTTGGTGGAGGGTCAAGTATCGCCCACGGAAATACTTCTGAACTCCTCAACTTCCTCCTAAGATAAACACGTGCAACAGCTTGACTGGGTTTTCTCCAATTTTGCTTCCTCCAGAGTCTCCACCAAAAACCCAAAGTGAACGAAAAGTAGGTATTTGTTGAGTGATGAAATGGACCGGAAAACACTGTGATTACTTCTGATATTACATACTTCTTTTAACCGTTAGATGTAATAAAAGGCTTGATAGCCTTCCAAGGGCTTTAGAGCATTGAAATAAAACATTTCTGCACCATCTCTCGTTCTGTTCCGGCCCTACGTTGTCAGAACAAAGCCACGAATTTTGGGAAGAAAGACATGGGTTTCTGATTTCGTGGTGTTGGAGCAGGCATAGATTGCTGAAACTCTGTACAAATGCTTTGTTTCAATTTTGTTTTCCTGAACAATATACCTGGGTCTGAACTGACATTCTAGAAAAGAAAAGCTGATTCCCAACCTCGGATCTCGGCTGTCACATGGAATAGCTACAGCTGGGGAGAAAAGCTTTAAAGATGGGCACGGCCTACCAAGGGCCACCATGCCCAAGAACTCCAGAACAGAGAGGGTGAAATCTGATCGCCCAAGTGCCTGAGGCACCAGAACATTCTTGTGCAAATATATAAGGATGTTTAAAACACGACTCGTTTTCCACCGGATTGCTTATGAAGGTTTTACAAATATTCAGAGCCTTGTTGTAAGCAGTGTTTATTCCAGAGAGGAATGAAGTTCCTAAAAGATGGAAACACTCCCCCCCAAGGCAGCTCCCCAAAACATGCAGAATATGGGGTCCACCATGGCTCCTTCAGGGCATGGATTGCTAGGATTTATTTTATCCTTGGGGTGTGTGTGCATACGTGTGTGTTGGTGAGGGTAGGGTACACAAAACCAGGAAAAAAATAAAAGGCATCCATAACCTTGAATTCACGACCTAGGAATCACGCCAGCATTTAGCTGACAGCCAAGAAGTGGCTTTTGTGAGCGTCTGCACTTTAACAAAGTCCCCTCCCTCTGTCTTTGGAAAGTTCCCGACCTATAAAGGCTCCCCATACGCTACCTGACGTAGGAGATGTAAGACATCCACTGCAGGTAAGTCGGGATGGTGTCAAAGCTGACGAAGAATCCTGAGAAGAGGAGGACGGGGATGGCCGTCACAGGACCCACGAAGGTTGCCACCTGGTGGGGGACAGAAAGGGAACTTACTCAGAGGGAGCAGGTGGGCAGTCCCACCCAACCTCCTCCTCAGGTAGCCCCGGAGGCCATATTGTACGTTCCTGGACAGTCACTTGGATAGCTGGGAAAGAGACAGAGTGTTCAGGATGGGTCATTCAAGGGCCAGGACGGTGCTGAGCAGTGTCTTGTTTCTGAGTGAGCAGCCTGGTCTCTGGCACAGGGAGGTGCTGAGATTTTGTGGCTGGAGGCTCAGCTGGCCCCAGCAGAGGGGATGAAGGTAGAAAAGAGTAAAGCCCCCGCAGAGCAGTGGCAGGGCGGCTTCTGGGAATGGTAATGAGGGAGCTTAATGTTGGGGGACACAGCCATCCGAGGAGCTGATGTATCCGAAGGAGGAAGGGGCAACGAGTTTACTGTGGCTGGTGCGAGCCGAGCACTGTCTCTGGCCGTCGGCTATGCGACGGCACCACGGATGAGGGGGCTGCCCCAGAGGCTGAGCAGCGGGCTCTGAAGGTGGAAACAGGAGTCCATCACACCCAGCAGAGGATGTCGAGAGGCCTCAGGGGTACATGATTCACCAGAGTCTTGGCTTTGGTTTGTAAGGATCGGACTGGCCTGAGCACCCTAAAGCCACAGAGGTGGAGAAGCCCCATAGGCACACAGGTTTGGCAGGTTGGGACGGGGTGTATCAGGTGTCTAGAAGAGGCACATGGAGCCCCAGAGAGCACATGGGAGGACTGCGGGGGGCGGGTGGGAGCGGGGAGTCCAATGGAGACTCTGAGCGACGGCCGAGTGGATCCCGCGGGAGGCAACAAAATGTAGGCGCCAAGAGCTTGGCCCCTGAGCCAGCTGTGTGACCCTGACCAGATCAGGCTGCCTCTCTGGGCCTCAGTCTCCCCACCTGTAGAATGCGGATAGCACAGTGCCTAACTGGTGGGTGTACGGGGGATTAAATGAGCTAATATTCGGTGAGATCAGCACCTGATATACACTAAGTGCCACATAAGGACACCCGCTATTGTCAGTTTGCCCATCCTGCCTAGCCAGGACAAGGCGACTCCTTCCCTGGGGATCAACCTGGTGAGGCCAGGTCAGGAAGTCAGGGCAGAATCAGGAGGAGGGGTCTTAGGGAGGAGGGCGGGTCTGAGCTCCACCAGGGCAGCAGCCCCCCCACCCCACCCCCGTCTGCCAAGGTGGGGAAGGAAGGCCCGTCCCGCGCATGGCTAGTACCTGCAGGGACGTGGAGGCAGCTCCGATCAGCAGGCCCAGGGACTGCGCCACCAGCGAGGTCATGGTGCCCAGCGCGGCAAACAGGACGAACCGCACGGCGTCGGAGGGCTGCGACGTCATCCAGTACACGATGCTGCAGTACGCCACGGGGAACATGATCTGCAGACACAGCACTGTCACCCTCCCGCAGAACTCGGTGCCACCCGCCCCGTCCTCCAGGGTATGACGGAGAAGTCACGTCCCTTCCTGCATGTACCTGAAAGGGGACATCGGCCATGGTCTTGGCTAGGTAGTAGGCCTTCAGGCTGTACCAGTAATTCAGGTGTTCTCGAAGAAACACGCCCATCTCCAGGGGAACTAGGAGACGGGAAAACGGAAAAGGGCGTCACGCAGACGTACCTAGAGCGCCAACAGGTGACTGTGCTGAACTCTTAGTGCCCCACGCGGCCCAGGATGCGGTGTGGGCCTTCCGACACTTACCGGACTGAGAGTTTGAATGGAAAGATGTTGAACGATTTACTAGCCTGGAAAAATTGCCGACCATTTTTCTAACTTGAAGAGCCATTCAGCAGAGGACATTTACACGGATGCTGCTATTTCAGTGATTAGCACAAGAATTTGCTACTAATCTTATTCTCACTGAGTGACTGTGACAATGTGATTCCTTCCCATGGGCAAGACCTCAAAAGCTGGTCTTGGAAATTCAGGGCAGTTTAGCGGGGAGGCCTTGTAGGGAAGAGGCGTTTATGCTGGAGTTCTGCAGAAGCAACAGCTTTCTACACTGTCAGTCTGAAGTGACCAGGGGAACACTACTTTGCAAGTAATCTAGAATTGCACAGAAATCCATCCACAACAGCTTCATCCACTCACAAGCTTGGCCGTACCAGGGATTTCTTAATAACTGAATGAGGTAACTCTTAAGCAATAGAATTTGAGGGGTTCCTGATTAGAAAACCTGTTAGAAATCTCTCTCTCATCAGCCTTCCACCATTCTTAAAAGTCTTCCATTAGTGATTCATTCCTTTGGTTTAAACATCATATGTATTTTCTTGTCTAACAGAAAATATAATACCTACATCCGTCAACAAAGAAAATGGTATTTTAATAAAACAAGACGCTACGTGTTCAGAAAACTCATCTACCAGCCAAGCCATGACCTTGGTCCCCCATTGATGGGTCGGAATCACAGATCACGAAGGGGAGGGGGGTCTGTGGTCATTCAGGCACTCACATGTAAGAACAGTGGGCATGAGGGCCGCGAACATGAGGAACAGCATGGAGAAGAAGAGGAAGCCCGAGTTACTCAAGACCTTCTTGGCTTCATTCCCAATCCCCAGGTAGAGCAGGCCGATGAGGAGGCCGATTCCAATGTGAGAGGTGATCCGGAGGTGCGTCAGGACCTGGGGGCAGACGTGGGTCTTACTCGGGGACGTGCGGGGGTCGGGTAGTGGAAGAACTACGGGGCCAAGGCCTTTGGAAGCATCGACCTCTGATCTCCTCCAGAAAAACAAGCCCCCAACCCTAAACCAATTCAAACACACACACTTGCACGCGCAGGGCAGCATTTTATGGCTGTTAAAACAGAAGGAATGGTTCAAAAATGGCAAGTAAGGGCAGTCCACCTTCAGAGGAGGGGACAAGTGAAAACAATGATTGGGGTGGGGGACAAACAATGGACACAGCAGAGGACCACCCTCAATGAGCTCCGGCCTGGGTTGCTACAAGCCCCTCCATCTTTCAAACTAGGTCCCAGAGGCCCCCGGAGCATTCGAGCCTTCCTAGGCAGGCTGCTAGGTTGTCCCCTTTAAAGGGTGGATATTATCACGGATCCCGACCATTCACCAGCTCCTTCCTGATGAGTCTCTGTACAACCCGCCAGTGCCCTACACCTTCCAGTGCTTTCTTGAGGGAACAAAACACTCCCTGACATCAAGCTTGGCCACATGCCTTGCTCTGGCCAATGGAACAAGACCACCAGTGACAATTTGCCACCTTGAACCAGAAGTTTTAAGAGCTGCCATTTGGTTTCTCTCTTGCACTTTCCCTTTGCCATGTTCCAGAAAGGAGCTCTTCCTCCATTCTGGGTCCCAGGATGAGAAGACATGTGGGACAGGGCCACAACCCTCAGATGCCAACACGTAACACAAGCAAGACATAAATATTTACTGTTATAGACGCTGGCATTTGGGGAGTGTTTGTTACTGCGGCATCACAGAATGAAAGGTGACCAATGCAAAGGGAGGAAAAACAATCTGAAAGGTCACTCAGGAGGAATCAACCAGAAGATGACCCCACAGCTTCCTTGGCCAGGAGAGAATATTGGAAACCACCGTACCGAATCCCTCATGATGCTGAGGAAAGTCCTTTTGAAGAGGATGCAGAACTGGGTGAGGCAGCTGGCCGAGAAGCTGTGACAGCCTTCCATGGAAGTGGAGTCCTGAGGAGGCAGCCAAGCAGGGACAAGAGGTGAGCCTCCATCCCCGCCTACCTCTCCTCCTGGCTAACAAAGAGCTCCCACATGGCAGGGGGCAGGACGCAGCACGCGCTCTCCCCCGGGGTCCGGGAGTTCCATTACCTTTCTCAACCCCTCCAATCGCTTTGCCTGCTTTACCTCTTCAGAGGGCCGGTGCCAAAGAAAAGGGGTCACCTCGGCGTCGCTCCCCGGCTCTCTCCTGTAGTCCGAGTCGCACATGCCCTCCCGGACGGCTCTCACCAGGCGGCTGTTCTGATCGCCGTACTCGCCGGACGCCACCTCCATGACTGCACAAGACACAAACGGGGTCAGCCCCAGGCCCAGGACAGGCGCCCCGACACCGCTGATGTGTCCCGAAGGCCTCTTGCATTTTGCAACAACGTAGTCGTTAATCTAGCGGGAATAGTTTTAGCTGATCATGTAGACGCTGCATGCTGATGAGATGATAAAATCATTGAGCAACCAGTGTCCTCTCGGCTCTAAACCCCCAGCAAGGCCAGTTCTCACGGCAGGAGCGTGGGAATGCAAATACGGAGTGTGAGGTCAGAGAGCCTGAGAAGCAATTAGCTCGTGCATCTATTAACGTATTCATCCAGCCAGTGTTTATTGAATGCCTGCTACGGGCACGCAAGCATCAGAGCTGGAGCTGGGAGATGAGCAGAACGGAGCAGGATTCCCATTTGGAGAGCTCACATTTCGTGTTGGGGTGGGGTGTGAGTGACGAGCTGTGGCAGTTCTTCGGGACCATGGAGAAGTCCTGGGGCCACAGGGTGACCTTGGCACCCTGGGAACATTGAGGTCTGGGAACATCAGCCCCACCTCTCAGACCCCCAGGGAGCTTATCCTCCGCTGTCCCTCCTTGGCCCTGGGTCTCACTCCTCCTCTGCACTCCAAACTCGTTCAAGGTCCCACTCTGCCTCATTGTCTGTCCTGGTTCCACACTCCCATGGCAACTGCTCCCCTTCCTGTCGCCGACCCGCTCACTCCCAGTCTATCTGCCCTCCCCTTCCCCACGTCCCCCCTTGTGTACGTCCCAGCCCCTCACCTCAATACCATTCTTGCTAATGCCCACAGTCCCCGGGGCCTTGGTTTATCAGCACTGTCCTCCGGCAAAACCAGCTATCTGTTTTCCCCGAGCCTGAACCCAGGCGGCCAAGCCCTCCTAAATCCAGTCATAAACCAGGACAGGTTGGCCCCACCAGATCGTCATTGTCAATGACGCCACGGAAGCCCAACACTGCCCTCTCCACTGGTCACTCACACCCACCACTCTCTCCTCAATTCCAGCCCCCTCTTCAGGTGACACTGAGGGAATAGAAGCCACCAGAAGGGACCCACCCTCACCTTTCTAGGACCTCCCCAAAGTCCCCTGTGCCCTATTTCTTCTCCTCCCTCCATCCTTCCCTCTAAGTTCTCACTTGTTTGCAGGCCACGGACCTACCGCCCTCCCCCTGCTCAGCAGCACCCGTCGCTGACCATCCTCTCTCTCATGAACAAATATGCAACTATAAACAGGACCGCCCCACTGCCTTTTCAATACATTCAAGTCCTTCCCTAATGAAGCTCTCCCTCCCTCTCATCTCCTTCCAGTTCACCATGCTCTCGCTCCTCTTTGTCGTAGCCCATTTCGTGTAAGAGAGAAGGATTTCCCAGGAACAGTGTCTCATGGAGTACAATCTGGGAGATGATGTAGAAAACAGGAGTCCCGGGAGTGGTGTGGCCAGATGTTTGAAAGAAAAACAACTGAGCGAGAACGGCTGATGACTGGGGGACCAAGGAGGAGGGTTGTAGCAGGTTGAATAGTGTCCCCTGAACATTCGTGTCCACCTGGAACCTCAGGATGTAGCCTTATTTGGAACAGGTTCTTTGCAGATGTAATTAGTGATGGATCTTGAGATGAAATTATCCTGGATTTAGGGTGGGCCCTGAATCCAATCACTGGTGCCCTTATAAGAAGAGGAGAAGACACAGAGAGAAACAGAGAGAAAAGCCATGTGAAGACAGAGGCAGAGATTGGAGTGACACAGCCACAAGCCAAGGAATGCTGGAGTCACCAGAAGCTGGAAGAGGCAAGAAAGGACCCTCCCCTAGAACCTTCAGGGGGAGCACGGCGCTGCTGACATCCTGACTTCTGGGCGCCATAACCGTGGGAGAATGAACTTCTGTTGTTTCAGGCCTCCCAGTGTGTGGCTCTGTGTTACGGTAGCCCCAGGAAGGCAGGACGCAAGCAAGGACTTGACCCAAGTACAGTGGCCAAGGGGAACAACAGGACCGGGTGGGGGGTGTGTGAGCACTTGGAGGTCTAGTTAATATGAAGTTTGAGAGAAAGAGAAAGCAAGAGCAATGCCAAGATCTCCCACTTGGAGAGTGGGGTGAAGGGGGAGCAGATCTGACGGGAGGGAGGGGGAGCTGGTTTCCGAGACATGAAGAGGCTGTCGCGTTTGCTGATAGATGGGTAGGGTAACATATGGTGGAGAAGTGGTGCTGAGCATGAAGGTCTGGTGGGAAAGTGATGTCTGCCGGCGGCATCAATGCCCTGGAGGGTGTGAGCTGAGAAGAGAAGGCAGAGGAGGAGCCCTGGGAGCACCATCAGCGTAGAAGGTATGAGCTCATAAATTGCATGGCCTGTGCGAGTGATGATGCAATCGGCTGCTAAGCGCCACGGCCCGCCAACCTCGGGACCTCCACGTCAAGAGAAGTAACTCAGACCATTAACATGGTCTCTGGACTCCGAGGGTCACCTTTTTTGTTATATTTAGTCAAAATTTAAATCGGCATTTTAACATCTCCATTAATTAATGCAAAAGAGCTGTTTTATTTTTTAAAGGTTATTTCTTTTCAGAATAACACAGCAAAGTGTTATAGCAAGCTCCCTTGCTATAGTTCTCAGATATTTTATCTGGAGGAAAGAAAACCTCTTTTTATCTGTTAGTAAAAGTTCCACCACAGGATGGCACTTGGGCCATCTGTGGAATATTCAAGTAATTCCCAATTTGGGGGCTTCAGGTAAAAGTGGAAACCCACTAAGAGTGGAAAAGACCCCCTTTATTTTCCTTCTTTCTGGTCAAGGCTTTACTTACCAAAATCAGCAGGGTTGTGGTAGGTTGGGCAGTTCAGACCTAAATCCCTCAAATACGGTACAAGGTTTGAGACTTTTCCCCGGTACACGCATTGTCCTTGACTAAGGACGTAAAGCTGGAAAAAAGTAAGAAGAGGAAAAAGATCAACAATGCCTTCCTCTGTAAAGCAACAGGAGCTCTCCACCCATCCACCCACTCATCCACCCATCTATCCATCCACCCATTCACCTACCCGCTCACTCATCCATCCATCCCTCCATCCACCCACCTATCCATCCACCCATCCATCCATCCATCCACCCACCCACCCATTTACCCATCCATCCACCCACCCATCC